CCCATCCCTCTTAGCCTCCCCTCCAACCACGATCTCATTATGTAACCTTATATAATTTTGCATAGTGATTTTGTTTTTTGATGCATAGTAGCCGTCTGGTAGCTTACCGGAACGATGCCCATTCGTTACCGCTAGCTCTACCGGCTTGCCTCAGTTGAATTCTTTTTTTCTCGCCTTTTTTCTGTGTATTGCGACACAGTAGCTGAGGTGTTCCCCACCTCTAGCTAACGTGTATGATGATGATGATGATCTTCCGACATGGATAGCCTGCAGTTACTATAGGAGACGGCATTCACAACACACACCAACGATTAGTCATCACTGTTCCACTATGCTTCTACTTCTTCATTAAATTGGAAACAGCTATAAATCCCGTTCTTTCACCGCGGACTTTAACATAGATGAGGTTATGAATAGCAGTGGGCTTAATCGCACCATTTCCCAACTAACTTGATAAGCTGCTTCGTCTGTCTCCGTCACCTTTGTGTCCTTTATTCCATCGCGGATGTAAGTCGCGCTTGGGTAGAGTTTTACACTGGAATGGTTAATTACTGATTGGTGTAATGTAGTATCTATATTGCACCTGCTTATGACGGATAAGACATATCTAACCTGCCTTGGTTGGGCTTACTTAACTCGGTTATTTCACGTGCTGCCTACTACACTGTTGTACTCATCATCATCTATGGTATCCTTGCTACCTTCTCAAGTAGAGTCTCGTACGGGGAATTACCGAGGCGGTGAGCTAAGGTATTTTCCTCTTCGCATTATCATTCGGCCGCCATTCACATCACTATGTAAACTCCATGGTATTGCTCATCAGACTATGCTACCCACATTCTGCTTCTTGAAATCGCTTTTTAGAGTACATGACTCTAGCTTGACCAGCTAGCTGCCCAATGCTAACTAGCACGACGCTTAGAAGGTCGGTGCATCTCAGAATAATGGTTCAGTCCATCCATGAGCTCATCCGTATTTGACGTGCGCGCAGAGTTTCTCAACGAACTGTGTTGTTGATACGGAAAATGCTAGGGTGGCAAATTATTGTGCTTTTTTGCAACTGTCTACGAATAGACATAGAGCCATCAGAAACCATGGGACTAAAAAGAAGGTACAGTAATCGGCAAAGAAAACTCCACATAACACATCGGAGTCCAGTTCGGTTGATACGTGTGAATCCAAAGTTTAACAGCTTTTGGCCGAGTACAGTACACATAAAGTGCAAATTTTGACATCTGGAGCACAACATTCAACAATTGTACTTCGTGTGACCACGTTGGACTATGCATCCGAAGAGAAATTACTCTAGAAAATCGGTGGCCAGTCAACAATCCCGACAAGTAACCGACTGGAGATTATCGTGATGTCGACAGTTAATGTTCCGCTCCACAGGTTAGTGATGAGAGTGAGTATAGCTGTATTTCTCCTTGTTCATCAGCTATAGTAAATTTACCGGGGCTTATGAAAACGCAAGTACTAAGCGGATTGGAGGCGAAAGCGCAGAGACGCCTACCAGAAGTTGAATTGGACATGGCCAATCTTCTGGATAGACTAATAAAAAGTTAATGCAAATGGTAATGGTAAGACGGTGGCTTAGTATATTTCATCGGACAGGAATCGGTGCATAGCGACAATCGTTTTAGGTGCTCCTAATAGCTGCACTCGAGACCTACTACGCTGATCCTTACCAACTAGATTATGGCCACAACAGAATATGGTTGGCGGCATCCGGTTTCGGATTTGCCTGTCATTGTGGCCAGTCACAGGACGCCTGCGCCTACAGAAGGACCATGGGTGGCTTGCGCTGCACCAACCACAGCTCCATCCACACACCCCATATCCAGTGTAAACCCGAAGGAATAACACCGGGAGGCGTGTGGATGGGAGCCACGTTCCATCAACGGAGCCGGCCCACACTCCTTCATAGGCAAACACAAGCACGCTGTATTTGGGAATCAAGCGCACACAAGGCGGTGACTGGACCGTAGTCCGCTCCACACTGAGTGCATAGAACCACTCTTCAAGCCTAGATTGACCACAAGGACCGTGCACCCCGTCGCCTCCAGCAACGACCAACTGTATCCTAGAGACAGTATGGACAAGGTAGTGGGTAATAGACAGGTAGACACGTTGTCAACATGCACATTAAGCCCAGCCACACCGGGGATGTCAAACAACAGCCAATCACTTGAAATAACAGTAACAAATATAATATATCTGTTAAAGAATACGGCTATGCAGACATAGCTCTTCTCTAAATTAGCATATGAAGTAAGTTGGTCAGCAGCGAATCCGTGATAAGTAAAAATGTCCAGAAGTGATTCAGAAAATGCAACAAACGCAATAAAGTTAACGAAGATAAGCACTATTGCCCTAAGCAATGTGGAAATTTAATAGAAGATTATTCCGGTAGGCAGAACAGATCAAATGACGTGGAATGAAATTTATCCAGCTTAAAAGGAGACCTAGTTTAAGTGAAAGTTGGTTTAGCCCAACTGCGGTGAAGGAGCATCATGGATGCAACATCAGACTCAGCACGGGGCACAAGACTACGATATATATATATATATATATATATATATATATATATATATATATATATAAGCAAACACAAAGATGCCACAGAGATCGGTGTGGTATGGAAAGAACCAAAGTTCAAAGGGAAGCGTAGAAAACTCAAACTTCTCAAAGTTAGAAAAACATATGCAGTTGTGTGTCTCCTTAACAACTGGAGCCCATGTGTGTAATGGGAAACTGCCCACAAAAGCAGGGGCTTCTATACTGACACATCAGTATTTATGAGACACGCCCAACAATCGTGGATTGGTAAGATTCAATCGAACGCATAAGAGAGGGAGAGTTGATCGTGCGGAGCATGACAATATTTTGAAAAAAATGGAACCAAAGCATGCAGACCGCGGAGAGCAATCAGGGTTGAATAGCGGCCACATCCGGCTGAATTCAACGGAATATACCGCGGTATGTACAGAGGGCTGAGTACTTGGATGACAGCTAGGCTACGTCTTGGACATTTGCAAAACAGTGTGAACAATCTTTAGAAAGCCGTATGATTGACAGTGGGCAGCGGGACAAAGTTGATGTAGTACTGTGGTAGTTGTCGTGCAACGAGTCCGTAAGCAGCAAATATGTGGTATTGCTACCTGTCCATGCTTAAGATTGAGCAAAAATCGTTCTTTGAGAATCCCCACGTACCTAGGCAGCAGATTTTTGACCGGTCGGCGACACGGAGAGCATGAGTTTAACACCCCAAAGAATTCGCACGCTGTGCGATCGCCACCAACAGCTATGCAATTCAGACTGTACATATAGGAGGCAGCAACCCAAATAGACAGTATTTCATGTTATATCTTGTGTAGTAATCATTCTGCATAATAACCGTACTGATGGCAGTTGCGTCACTATTCCTATATCGGTTTCGTTCAAATATTGATGCCCAAAATTTAAAGCTGTTATTTATGTTCACCTCGAAATGTTGAAGAAAACACCAACAGTTCCTATTCGGTACTTATACTCTTGCGTGCGAAAATAGCTGTTAGCCTGACCTCTAACCATAACCCAGGCCCGTTGGTAGTAATATTGATCATGAGGCTTAATATGTCTCTAGCCACTTTGTGGCAGTTAATACTTAAGTTTAGACAGCATGTTCATATGTTGTATTCGAACTACCATTGTACGCGCATGAGGCCAATCCATGTACACCAAATGAATTTGACGAGGATACTCATTCAGGTTTTGTACGGCCAACTTAGTGCAGGGAAGCGGCACTCGGGCAAACGGAAACTAATCTTAGAAGGACATGGACAAGGTGAGTTTATGACGAACTAATGTTGATTTCAGGTATTGCGAATCCAAGGCAAAGTTGATCGGTGCGAATTCCGTGGACTGATAAGCGGGCGATTGCCCAGGTGAAGGAGAAGGCACTATTGCACGCAGAATAGATCATGATGTGTCAGTTCCCATTCGATTTACTAATCCAGGCCAATAAGGCAGCGTAAGTGGCACCTTTGCCTGCGTGTTGAGTATTCTTGCATTTCAGAAGTTAGATGTTGATTAAGCTACCCGGTGTGGCCGCGCCTGATGTGAACGTTGACAAGAGGCCTACCTGTTTAACACCCTCCACTTCGGTTTCTCGCTCCAGGAGACAGTTGGCCGTTGCCAGAGGGGATGGGGTGCACGGTCCTCGTGACGGTGCTAGGCTCAAAGTGTGCTTCCATGCAAACTTTCTGGAATGGGCTACGGCCAAGCCAGTGACTTTTCTTCGCCTGGTGTACATGCTTTCCCATTTAGGCCGGAATGCATCTGTTCTGCTTGTTGAAGGAGTGTGGGTCGGCTCCGCTGATGAAACGCGGCTCCCTTCCACATGTCTCTCGGTCTTATTCCTTTGGGTTTACACCAGAAATAAGGTGTGTGGGTGGAACGGTGGGTGGTGAAGCCCAAGCCACCCCTGGTCCCTCTGTGGGCACAGGCGTCCAGTGGCTGTCCTCATGGAGGCTACGGTGACAAAATAGTCAGGATACGAATCCTGCCAATCATTTATATATATATATATATATATATATATATATATATATATATATATATATATGTCCTTGCACAATAGGCATTCTAAATATGTAATAAATGGAACGCTAGATTAAACCCAACGTTATTACTGGTAGTTCAGTCGCCTACACTCTATAAAACGAATGAGAATAAAACCCAAGCTTGTACGCCGTAACGGCATTTCCTTGCCACTCGAGCACCAGCAGTCGCGCGTGGGCTGATTATCCCACAGGGACGCTAATTCGAACCGGTAGATCAGATAACCTGACGGTTGCAAACCAGACGCGCAGACCACTGAGCCAACAGCGGACCGTACTGCGCGATTTCGATTATTTCTCCGGCAGATTTATTTTACAGCACCTTACTGGATAGAAAAATTGCACGATATCTGAAATCCATATAGAACCGCATAATTTTATGCCAACAGTCTGACTTACCGCTAGATCGAATCGCACTTGTTGCAAAGACAATCCTGGCGCTTGCAATGCCCTCAGTCGCATTTTGTGAACTAATATGGAATCATCTGTAACCATAACGCACACGCTCACAAACATGAAGATGTAAAGTATTACAAAAGCGATGAGCTTTATACGTTTCTTCCTTTCCAATGAAGCCCACCAACCGGTTATGAAGATAGGAACGCTCTCCAGTGCTTTGGGGTTCTCCTCCATCATAAGCTCCCTCTATCCTTGTTGTGTCACGTGGTGGTCGATACAGTATCGCAATTAACCCTTTTAAAATAGCTCGTCAATATCCTATTACTTAGGCTCTATGAAATGTTTGGGGATTCATTAGATGCTGTTTCATGAATTCATTGCAATTGAGGGGGTTGTTCATAATGGATGTTGCTTGTTAGAGATCACACTCTTGTGCATTGATAGTTGTATGAAAGTCGCTGGAGCGTGAACCGCACCAGTTGACAACTTATTACTTCTTCAATTCAGCTCTATGCGTTGTGAGAATAGGCTTGTTTGTTTCAGTTTCTCACAGAGCAGATGAGTGTTCACCACCAGAAACTCCTGAGGAAGGGAAACGTTGTTTCTTACTTTTCGAATGATGTTAGCTATCCGGCTATGTCTGCTTTAACAAGTTTCACCCATTAGTATCAGATCTTTCACAGTACTACACCCGCGCATTAACTTTGAACAATAGGGAAAAATGTATCGTTTGTTTATCCCACGATAATTTCATTGTGTGCAAGTTCACTGTTTGGTGAAGTAAACAGTGGTCCAAACCAAATATGTACAAAGTTATTCTTTAATTCCAGCTGTGGGCCATTTCTTTTGGCATGTTAAGTCACCGACACTCTTTATCCTTCAGTTCACATGCAGGACGACGTACATTTCCAACAGCGGCTAGATGCGATGTTAGTGATTTCATGGGCTGTCATCAGGTGGAAGGCTGACAACCACGCTGCCGCCTCCAGCCCAGTCCTGGACGAGCGAACGGACTGCGGCGTGGTAAAGGTTCAGGCGTCATGCATAGGACATGACCAAGCCATCTCAATTAGGGTAACAGAACCAGTTAGTTGAAGAGAATACTCACATTCCGTAGGATGCAACTTCGTACGGAGAGCTGTGAAAGCGGTGTTGTCACAACTTACGAGCGATTCTGCTCAAACAACCGTTGTCGAGGGCGCAAACACCGCGCATGTCATTCACACGAAACGGCCAGGACTCGCTACTATACAGAAACACTGCAAAAGCAATGTGACACTTAAGTCCTGCTTCTTATTGATGTTAGGGCGTCCCGACGACACCACAGGTGCCACATATTGACAAATGCTGATCAGGCTTTAGCGAAGCGAAGAGCAACTTTCTTAATGATAGTGCCGCCAGCAGAAACATGGCGTCAAATTTATACGGAACTACCTACCTGTACAAGTTATGCACTTTCAAGGGTGAGCAAATGAGAGGGCATGGGCAAATCCTGGAACAGTACTTTACACTTAAAACGGTGAAGCTTATGCTAAGATGCTTCAACCGCCAAACGATCTAAAATGGGTTGCATACCTTGTGGATGGTCAAAAATTGAGGCGATCTCGTCAGCATAATCTGAGTCTTCTGATCGCTCACCCGACAGAGGTTCTAGGCCAAAATTTTGGAAGTCTGCTAGAGCCGTAACAAAAAATCTTTGATCGCAAAGTTGAAAAGAAATGGGGAAATATGGTATTCTTGTTGCATATTGATGTTAAGAGCGATGGATGAGTAAAGCCTTTCTTATATCTTCAGTCTGTCGGAAATTTGCAGCTAAAGTGCGCCTAGGATGGCGGTAAATTTTTCTGAAACCATATACCTAAGCAAACAAAGTCATAAAGCTGGTCGATCAACCGAGTAAAATGTGGCCCGTATATTTGGGAATGCGGCAACGGTGGAACTGAGGTAAATGTAGCGGTGCACGAGGGGTTGGTGAAGCGTGATGATTCCATCCATATATCCACGGCCGGGACTGAAACCGGCTTGTTCTTCAAGGTAGCATGATTCAAGTATTGGGGATAGTCTTCGAAGCAGGATAGACGCCAACAGCTTGGAGGCAACCGATAGAAGACTACTTTCTCAGTTACTGTCACATGAAGTGCTTGCGCCTTTCTTGAAACTCGGGACAATAAGTTATTCGTCCAATGCAGAGGTGCTTTTTCTTCATGCCAGGTTTTTGTAAAAGAGGTGGTCAGCTGGTTAATGCTTATCACGTCGCTGTACTTGAAGAACTCCGGAGGAAGTCTGCCCTAGCCCGCAACCTTCAACCAGTTCATGCTTTGGAACTGTAGGTAGACTTCTGCTTCACTGAGTGGATCTAGTGCCACGAATCAGGGTAAGCAACAAGATGTACTCTGTGCATGGATGGACGGTGGAGGCCGGTGCATCACGAGTGAAAATGCTCGGCCGGGCCGTCAAAAAGCCTCCGTTATTTGATGATCAGAGACCATTTTGTCTAGCAGTTAACTTCACTCACACTAGGACTGCTGAAGCCAATGAACCGAACGACATGGAAAAGCTTGCGAATGTTGTGAATGAGGGCAGCGGTCTCCATCTCCATCGCACTTTCAGAGTACCAATTCTTGCGTTCCTTGCTCAAGCAAAGCTTGAGCAGACGGTTGGCAGAGCGGCACCGCAGGTTTTCATCAGATTCTGTCGAGGTATCTCTGCGTCGGTTAAACAGTTCCAGAGAACAAGCAGAGATCTAAGCCGCAGCTTTATTGTCCGGAAGTGACCATCGCCATCTCTATACATGTCTTGTGTTACCCAACGGCATGTGATGGATTGTAAATGAGTGCATTTGCCTTTGAAGACTGATAGCTCGCCTTGACTGAGGAAGCAGTTAATCTGTAATCAATACGCAGATCAAACTGCTTATAACGCCATAAGTTACTTGACGGCTTAGGTTTGGTAAGTTAATCGCTTGGTGGGGGGGCTACCCTGTCCTCTGCACGGCAGTGATGTGCTAGTCAGTAACTAGTGAGCGGCGATATATCACATCTAGCAACATTCACGATAGTCGATGCTGTCCACTGTAGCTCAGTTGTCTCAGCCACGGTTTGGCAGCAGTCGAGTTGCGGGTACGAACCCTACCAGGGTCCAGTGGAATGCGCACGGCCGACGATTCCCGAACTGATCAGACATCCGTACAGCTATATTTTGGGGCGTGTGGTGGCTGTCTGAGTGGGTCTAGATGTGGCGAACTTCTGCCAATACTACTCAACTACTCCTCCGTAATCTGTTTACACCAATCTTGCGGTGCTTCGTTTCTGTGGTCCCCCATAATACTTGCAGGTTTTCGCGTAGGGCAGCACGTGAGCGGAATCAAACAAACTGGACACAGATGACCTGTAGTCCTTTACGCTGCCCACCATCTGTAGCTGATTGCGATATGACCAATTGGAGGTCACCCTTGTGTTGGCTAAGGGTGGTGCCAAGTTGCGGAACTTTTTTTGTATGCTCGCAGTTGTTGCTCGAGAGGAACATTTGGTTATCTCCACCGTATTTTCAATGACATTCCTCACAACCATATAACCGAGCACACGAGCACCCCATAACCACTAGTCTGACCTGTTAGGACTGATGCTCTATAGTAAACTTACTGCGTCTATTCGTGAACCTAGGAAACTCCCCGCAGGTGTTTTTTATATCTCCAGCCCAACTGATTTGTCCAGATTGTAAGCACGGTATTGGCTTTGTGCACCTAGCCAGCTGGCCAAAAATGTACCTTAGCTGGTACACATTGGTATTCAAAAACCTGGATACCGTTGGGTCCACGTACTGCGTGACTATGGAAGCTGTGTCATCATGCACATTACAGCCAGATGGAGCAAAGTGGGAATGTTGCCGAAATTTAGCGAAGTTTGCATGCAAGCCCGAGAAAAGAGGGAAGTTTCCTATTGCTGGTCACGACACCAATGTAACCAAAATAAGACAAGAAGGAAGCACGAGGATTATTAAAGGCGAACAAAGCTTTTCAAGTCTATCAAACATGTGCATATATAGATGACGTATCTTTTCCACAAATCCCCACACGGCCGCTCAATAGTCGTCACATCCATGCGTCAACCTATTCCAATTTGGTGGATCATACCTGGTTGTTCAACATCATAGCCCGGTTTACACCAGTTGTATTCTAACCAAGTTAGATTTAGTTGAAGTAGCTTTAGTTACTTCATTGTGTTGCATTGTTTTGTTGAAAATTAACACCAGAAAGGCCAACAGACCCCTGCATCTCGTTTATTTACTTACTGAAAAACTTTCCACAACTCATAGATAATCAAAATGTTTGAGTACAAAGTCGAAAGTCCTATTTCTTACACGATCGATTTGTGGATAATCGTGCTCGGGGGCTAACCCTGCGCTCCCCACAGTTCGTAACTGGCATGACCGTGGAGGATGGGCTGCTCTATGTCACATTCAACGATCAGCCAAGCAGGCCAGTTCCTGACATCCACGGATTAGTGGCATCCAGAAATCATGAAGTCGGGATCCGGAAGGAGTCAAGGGTACGCGTAACACCCATTAGTACCAACAGGTCGATACGGCCGTCTCGTGCTTTTCCACGGGAGTAGTAACCTGCTTGTCTGAAAGCTGGATTCGAAGAACCATATTCAACACAAGCTCAAAAAGCCCCACTACCCATAAGCAATAAGTCTGTTTTCTATTACCTGGACACACCACCGCCTTTTGATCCCAACGCATTCTCACCTGATTCCGCAAGCCTTGCTTTGTGTAGCGGCTTTTTCCTTTCTCACCAGTTTTCGTGGATTTCCTTCTCCCACGTATCATGTACTCTCCACGTTCCTACAATATCATGTCGACTAACGTTCTCATGTTTCTCGTCAATGTAACTTGTGCGTCCTCTGCTAGCTGCTTTGGGAACTTGGAACTTTCGACACTGAATTGAACCCACATCTGGAGACGACCAAAAATCGCTGTATGTAGCTGATAGCATCAGGTGGACGTTAGTAGTGGGTTGTTGGGATATTCACATCATGCATCACCGCATTCATATGCAGTATTTACTCGTTTCTAAAATTCAAAGAATCCGGTCACACAATCTGGGTCCGGATACGTTAATAAGATTTATGAATTCAATGGTCTTCTGCACCTCTTTCAAAGTCACGGGAAAATCATAGGTAATTTAATTCCTTTTTCTCTGGAGACAGGAATGACAAAAGCTAATGTCATTTGCA